CAATACTATCACATGGTGGAGTGTCTGAAACAGTGGGCAAAGAGGCAGTAAAGACTGGGAGACTCGGATCCGGGTGGCTCAGGGGGGGGGAAAACGGGGCGGGGCGGAACAACCCATTTCGGGGGATTATGTAAGCGGCTTGGCAAAGCTTTGGGTCAACGCAAGTCGAGGAACTGACAAGGCAAGTCGAGTACGGACGTATCTCTAGCCTCAAATCAAAGCAAGTCGGTGTGCCGATTTGACTTGATTTGCCTTGTGGGCAGCACTGGTCTAGGTTACGCCGCGCCTCTCCGCGTCCGCAACCGCCCAATCGAGACCCCGCGGCTGGCCCAACATGGTGCCCGTGCCGGAGTGGTCGAGCACCTTGACGGCGACGACGACGGCTTTCTTGGACACCCCGTACGTCTCGCCGGCAACGATGCCCGCCACGTGCGTGCCGCGGCCGTCGTCGTCGGTGTCGGGGGACGAGGCGACGAGTTGACGCCCCACACGGCGCGGTCGCCGAAGTCGACGTGCGAGAGGCGGATGCCTGTGTCGATTACGTAGACGCGGACGTCGTTGCCGGCGGTGTCGCTGTAGTAGTAGCCGGTGTAGCCGCGTCTGCGGTGGGAGATTCGTGCTAGGCCCCAGGATGCGTTGCGCTGCGTGACCATGGTGCGTTTGGCGAGATTGGGGTCGGCTGCTATGGCCGCAGTCTTGACGATAGTGTTTCTCGATATGCTCAATCTTGACTGGACAGTTAGATATCCAGGTGCGCGTTGTTCGGGTTGATATTACCAAGTCACTGCCCATGAGAGCTGGACGAGTTCCGAGGCCGGAATCTCAGCGACATAACCCTGCAAACCCAGAATGTCAAAGGAGCCCAACACTACACGCTTGTTGCCCTTCTTAGAGTTGCCGTCAACGGTGTCCCTCATGCTTCGTTCTTGCGGTAGCATTAACGGTGGCCTTGTACTTGACAATGTACGTGTCCGGAATGACAAGGTCAACCACAGGACTCCTTCATTTTGGATCAGTGGCAAAGCAGAGATTGACGGGAAGACAACTAGGGCAGCGAAGCCACAAACGACGATGTTGGGTCTCATGCTCAAAGTATATCCAAAGTTGATGAGCGGCTGGATTGGGGAGTTTCACTCCAGCTTGAGATTGCAACTCGACACCCAGAAACCTCAACATATCTCAAGAAATTTATTGCTGTTCGGCTGTCCGGTTGTAATCCTAAGCTTTGAAATACGGATTGACCGTGGCTTGTGGGGGTCCTGTCAATCATCGCCGAGCTGGGCATTGCGGCTTCAGCCGACAGCACCAGGTTCCTCAACAGGCTTCTCTGCAAGCCTCCCGAGACATCATGATCTACGGACAGCTAAACTGTGGCCAGACCGGCATTGGTAGATTGCTAAGCGTCTTCGACGCAGTTAGCCGTCATCAACATGAACGTTAAGGAACGTAGGTATCGTAGCGTTTAGTGTAGGACCACGCATTGCTGGCGTTGACAGCTTCGATGTTTCAGGAGGACTTCGAGGTTGTGGCTCGATACAACATGCAAACTGGTCTCCTTGATGTATCGTCCCTGTTTACCAGAATACCGAGAGCTTTAAGCTGCAGCTCTGACTTTATCACCGTGTCTCGCATTCTACGCACTCGCTCCGTCTCCGGCGCCGGAGCCAGAACCAGCTGCAGCACCAGCCCCGGTGTTAGTTCCATTCCCAGCAGCTCCAGCATTCGCCCCATCGGCAGCACCCTTATCGTTACCCTTACTACCCTTACCCTTACCCTTCCCATTCCCCTGTCCTTTCCCCTTCCCCTTCCCCTTGCCTTTGCCCTTGCCGTTACCCTTTCCTTGCCTCTTCACTCGGGAGAAGGTTGTCACCTCTTCCTCCCCTTCCTCGCCGTTGATGGTCGCACCCATATCGTCCACCGTGTCGGTGTTGGTGGCTGAGAAGGACGTGGCTGTGAGATCCCAGGCGGATAGCACCGAGGTCGTGAATCCCGCCGGCGCTGCTGCAATATTAGAAGACAGTTGATTAACAACTTGGGGATGGATATGCGATTTGTGCTGGGCTTACCTGCTGCGCCGCGCTCGCGGACTTGGAATGTTGAGCACGATGTGATCACGAGGAGGAGCGGCGTGATGGCGGCGATGGAGTCTGTCAAGTGCATTCTGAGTTTGGTGGTGGTTAAGGTATGTTCAGAGGATTGTTGATTCTTGGTTGCTGGGGCCAGATGATTGAAACGGATAAACAGATGGACAGTAAGAGAAGAATGAAGCAAATAAAGCCAATGAAGCACTCAATGCTGGATGATATGCTGAAGAGTAAAGGAATGATAGGGTATTCAAGAGAAGATGGTAAGCAGAGTTTGAAGGGGATCACCTCAAGTTGATAGAGAGACAAGAAAGAGGACATATTTAAGCTTTCACACTATCGCCAGGACCGAGAAGGCTGAAAATAGGCACAAGAAAAGGAACAGCTTCAGCTGAGGCTCTCCCACGTTTCAGCCAGTGTATTGAACACCACTAGCCTGTGGCACCTTGTCTCTGGGTAGCTTGTGCGGCGGCGTTGCAAAGGGTTATGAAGCCAACTAGGGCCAGGGTGCCCTTGTACTGGTGAGTCTTGAACGCTCGGATCAGGACGCAACCGTGCAGTTGATGTTTCAAGGGGATCAGCCACACCGTCGTAGCGATACGCCAATGGAAGTCAGTTTAAGCATTTTGGAGCCTTCGATCTCTCAAACCAGGGTAGGCAGCTGTTGCAGGTTTGCGGGGGTGCTCTGCTAGTTGGCAAACAAAGGAAAGCCAAGCAAGGTAATGTACGTTAGGCACTTTGTCATTGAGTGAACTGCAGGAACATCTCCGACACGTGAAAATAGTTATAGTAGTTACGCGTCCAAAAGTTTGGAGCACCCTACACCAACTACCACCAGCCACACGATTGCTGACGTTATACCAAGATACTTATCCTTCTATAACAGCTCACCAGCTTAATTTCTAGCGATATAGATATATTGAGTTTGAAGCCCTAGTTTCAGTCATCAATCTTTCATTTATCAACCCCTGGCTTTCTTAACTACAATTAGTTATTGCCGGGGCATTAAGTTGACTAGCCTGTTAATCTGAGCCTGGTCTATTGACCATCAACAACGCCGAAGACATCTAACGTTAGTAAACTCAGCAACATCCACGTGGTTTTTCTTGAGTAACTAGATGTCTGGATATCCTGCTCTATCCTCTGTTTTAATAGAGCCTATATATGCTCAATAGCGCTAAGATCTGGGCTATGAGCAGGCCGGTCTTCAAGGACGTTATTATGTAATTCAGGAGCCACTCGGTCGAGGATGACGATGTATGTACCAGGTCGTTATCCTGCTGGAAATGCCTCGTACCGTCGTAAATTGGAAGAAGGCCCTTTTCCACTGCCCGTTGATAACTCCAAGAGTTATATCCCCCTTTTTACGGTGGTTGATAGTTACGTTCCATGACTATAAGGTCAGTCCTCCCCCCTTTCTGCATTCCTGCCCAGATTATGATTGAGATAACGTTAGTGCTTTTACCATAAGTTTGTATGTTAACGAAGTTCTTAATCCATTTTTGAGAAGGGAACCAGAAGACCCAAGTTGTTAGGTTACTTGAATTGTTCTAGCAGGACGATTCATCGGTGAAGATAGACTAGAGGTTGGTCAGTAGATTCAGGAGTAAACTTCAGGGTCACTTACCCGTATCAGCACCTCGAGATTCTCTAACTAAAGACACGCAAACTTATATCTGGCCATTGCTATAGCCTTTGTCAATGGAATTTTTTTTGTGCATGCCACTTGCGTATTCGATAATGGCGGAGAACTCGGCGTACTATGATCGAGAGATCCGAGCATTAACTGTATTAGTGAGCAGTTGTATTGTAAGACAGGACTTCCGCTTTGCAAGTTGGATGATATACCGCTTCTCTCGACGTATAAGAATCTCTGGCCGGCCAGTTCTAGGCTTAGATTCAAAGGTAGTAGAAGATTCGAAGCATTGAAGCGATAGTTGGACTGCACGACGGCTGATGGAAAACGCGTTGGCAATAGCCGTTTGGCTAGCCCCCGCTGCAACGGTACTAGCAATAGATGCATATACAGCTGGGGATAACTCCTAGCCAGGTTGACGGCCCACCGTCAATTTGGCACTGGTGTTCTGTTGGTTGGAAGGTTGATGATAAGGGGTGTCGTGTCGCGACGCGAGTTTAAGTTTGTGGGGTGCTCCAGACTTTTGGACACGTACTGTACACAGGAAGCCTGGTTAGGTCTGTTCCTGGTAGATAACTTAAGGTATGGTATGTAGTCATTCCGGGCTTTGAATTGGATGGCAAGGTGTCCATGTGCCCCTGGCTAAGGTACTGTGTTCATTGACCGATCACTATATACCTCAAGATTCATGCAAGTTCCGGACTTTGGTGTAGGAACAACCATCGCCAGAATGTGTTCATGTTCCTCGAGAACCGTCGTGATTCCATGAGTCTCAGGTTCGGCTTGCAGATAGCAGCAGCGTCATCGGCTTTCCCTATCCATAAGAAAGCAAAGAAGGAAGAAGAAAAAGTAAAGAGAAGGAAGGTCGGAAAAGCGAAATAAAAATTACATATAAAGGAAGGGGAGAAAAAAAGAAAGAAGAAAGGCACAGAAAGGCAGAGGAGATAGTAAAGGCTAGAAAAAAAGGAGAGAACAGAGGAGAGAGCAAACACCCTGGAAATGGATGGGACGGTGGGATTATGGAGCATCATTGCAAGATTTCAGTCTGCACCGAAGTGGGGTACAGCACCAAGATGACACCTCAAGGTAGCTTGCATCATGTGTCTGCGTCCGAGCTGTAACCAACACTTGTACCAGACTCAGAGATCAGAGAAGCTGCTTCTCACGGGTTACCGTACATAGGCCCTGGCAACCGCTCGCCAATAGATGACGATGGACTTGGAAAGGGTAGAATGGAATAGAGCAGATCGAGTAGAGCGGTTCACCCTCGGAGAGCACAGCTGCGATGCTGATATGACATGCTTGTTCTATGAAAGGGCAGCATCCATGCCTAATTGTCCACAACTCCACACGGGATCGTTGAAGCAGGCTCCGCTCTGCCTGTTTCCCCCGCTCGCATGTGCAGTTACGAGCACATGCAGGCTACGTCGTGAAACTGCCTCCAGGAAACTCAGGTTATGGTGACGCTTCGACAAATGCTTTTTACCTTAAAATTATCCTCAAGGAACGAGGGAGCAAAGGGGCTCAGGCAATGATACTGACCATCATCCGTACCTTGGATAACCCAGTATTGTCGGAACTTGGTAAACCTGCGGTGAAGGAACCCAACCAAATGTTTTGGTTATGATAGACTGAACCAAAAGCATGGAAATCCAGTTGTTGTCGATCATTTAACTCTATCGGCAAGGGATGCGAGTATAACATATCGAGTACAGATTACACATGCGCATCAAAAGCACACAAGATGCGAAAGGAAGGGGAGCGGGATTAATCTTCCTAGCGAGCTCCCGCCATTGGGCATGACAACGCAGAGTCGAGAGGGGGATGACAACATCGTTGCCTCTGATGTTGCAATTTGTTGGGCTCTCCTCATGCAAACCATCGGGCTTGCGGCAAGCCACCTCTACTAGTTGCTCCTCGAGCAGGCTTTCAGCTGGCATTGCGACCGGCTGTCGGCGTTTCGGCACCGGACCATGGCTAAGACGCTGGCTGGGTACATGGACAAGCCTTCTCTCTTCCTTGCCATGCTGCAAAGGGAGAGAGCCACGAGCTTGGTAGCCGTTTGTTGGCGAAATGACGGGAAAACTAGGCTTTGGCCCGCAAACGCTGGCAATATCCAATCGGGTGCTGATGTACCTTATCCAAGCATTTCAGAGCGCAATTGAAACCAATTGTGCTTGCTGCCGTGGGTACTGTGGCGCACGCATATGCCGTTTGTAATATGAGCCGACGGACATTGGCAGACGTTTTTGCTCTTTTGGACATTGCATGAAGCCGTCTGCCCCTCTTCAGCGAGTCCAGCTCCAGCCAGACTACTGTACAGAGCGGAACAAGCAGGGCGCTTGCTACTCCTTCCACTTGATATTTGGATCTCGTTTTGGTTGTAGGAGGCGAGGTTACACGCATGCCACTTGGCTACCCGGATTGGTGTGACGGAACACAGCTTGATTCGCCCAGGTTCCTGGAACGAGCTGACCGGCCTCACGGCTGGCACCCGCGAGGGCTTGGGGCTGCACTCGCTGTTCGGCCGGCAAAGCTGCCGCCCGACGCTAGGTCGCTTCGTCGATTGGATAGCCAACATTGGGCTGAATCAAGAATGCAGAGTGTTGCAGCCGGGAAGGCCCGATTGAGCAAACCGTTTTCCTAGAAGAGATTCTCTGAGAAAATTTCAGGTACGGAGTCCTGTCGATCGGGCCTCGCTTCTTGGCGCTTCTTGGACCAATACCTCCTCTCAGCGGCTTGACGTGCAAGTTTACTAACTGGGTTGCGGCAATGAGACGCCCTGCACATCCCTACATTACAAGATCTATCACGGCCAATTCAAGACGGTCACTCTTGGAATTCCCTCAATTCTAGGCCCAAGTCGAGACAGCAGAGGCACTTTGTATCAACCAGTTGGGACTGTCGAGGGCCTCGTGCTGAGTGAGACAAGCTGAACTGAGACATTGCCGTCTGCCGTACCTCACGTGTCCCCAGAAGTCTCCGCTAAGGTGTATCTCCCCCGTGTCGGCCATCCCAGAGTTTCGGATCGCAACAACGGGGCTCCGTTTCCTCGAGGTAATTTCTGCTCGATATAATTGAGCCACATGCGTCACCCCGCAGCGATGGGAGGATCCTGAGCCTCCAGCCGGGGATAGCCTTTCCAAGGTCGAGGCTCTGTTGGTTATCCCCCTTGCGGAGGTGACGGATAGCGGAAGGTTACAGGTGCAAAAGACGATGTGGACACGGGAAATGGCCCAAACTCGTAAAGATCGACGATGCCTGGGCCTGAGGGACGTTGACGGCCACGAGCAAGCTGAATGTCGTGGCAAACGGCGGAATCCTACCCGGTTAGTGAGGGCTGGGCCGGCTGGCTGCAGACCGCCGTCTGCGATGGGTAAGGCCACAGCTGGTTGAGGAGCCCCGGGCTGCGACTGCCTTTACCTCGGCGGTTGCACAGCATCGTTGTGTCCCAAAAGGGGCACAGTGATGCGCTGGACGCAAACGACTCGGGAACAAACAAGTAACAATTGGCATGGTCCAACTTTGGAACAAGGCATCTTGGGCATACGGCTGAGAGCCTCGCGAGAACCCGATACCAGTGATGGATCTGAGGATTTTCGCCGAGGACAGCACTATCGAGAGGACGGCTAAGGAGGAAGAAGGTCTATATAAACCCCCTTCCTCTCGTCCCTCCCTTCGGTCTCTTTCCTCTCCAGTATCCATCACAACAAGCAAGCCCAGCCCACAGAAACCGACAAGCCAAAGCCAGCTCCTCAGCCTTCCAAACAGCCAACATGCAGTTCTCGAACATCTTCACCGTGCTGGCCCTCGCCATGACGGCCACTGCCCTCCCTGCCGCCGACGTTGCCGCTCGCACCGACTCCGGATCGTGCAACAACAACCAGAAGGCCATCTGCTGCAACGGCGGCCTCATCGGCGGTATCCTTTGCAGCGTCCAAATCCTCGCAATCGGAGATATCTGCAGCGGCGAAACCTTCTGCTGCTCCAACGACGTGAAACAGGTAAGTTTTCCCTCCGTGGAGGTAGGCTTGTACGGCTGAGCAACACTCTGACGGTTCCTGTGCAGGGCGGTTTGCTCAACATCAACCTCCTCAACTGCGCCAAGCTCCTCTAAGAGGCTCGAGCAAGCACCTGATCTGGTGGTATCGCTGGGGCTGCCAGTATTGCTATCTTCCAGGCAGCCCCATCTTGAATTCGAGCGCATGGACTGGCCGAACTGGAGAAAATGGCGAGGATGATGGTTCTGGTGGGCCTTCAGGAGAATTTATTTTCGCGTCGGCATGGTGTTTGCTCAGGCCTGAGTGTACGCTCGCTGCATCTTCTCAATCTTTCAAAATCCAATCTCTTGCCGGCTACTCAAGTTCGCTTCTCCTCGGTGTGGCGTGCTTGCTGTCTTCTCGTCTTACTGCCATGAATGCTTGGGGGCCATGAGCGTTCGTACAGTTGTAGGTGCTGAAAAAAATGTGAACCGATAACTGGACCCGAGCTGGGAGGTGGTGAAGAGTTTCCACAGTGCTTGTCGAATAGTCAAATAGAATTTGATGAAACAAATTCATCAGATTTGTTGCTTCGACAAGTCATGTTCGCGCATCCCTTTTAACTCTACTAAACTGGCGTCCTGCCAAGAGTCGTTAGGCCCAGAGTAGACTCAGGACACTGTCGTCAGCCATCGGTCAGCTCGTCATGCAGAACAATACATCCGTTCCTAGATACAAATACAAGCAAATCATGAACCTCGTCCATGACGATCACAGCTCACTGCTCGCCTCCACTCCCGAGCTGTCCGTTGACCTGCGACTGTTCCGGTTGTTGGCCAACTTGCTCAAGGTGCCGCCTGTATTTAGGATGAATGGGGGTGAGCCAGCAACGAGAGGGATCACCAAGGCGCTTGGAAAAGCTCAAAACAAGAGTCTACGGATAGTGGCAGAAGCCCTCAAGTCCACACCCACTCGGAACCTTGAAACGGAAACATGGGGGCCGCCACTGGACCTTTACTTCAACAAACGACTGGCTGACTTTGAGGCCCGGCTTCAAATGCCCACTCTGGCCGACGGCCGAGGCGGAAAGAAGACTGCAGGGAGTATTGTT